ATGTATGTATCATTGCAACTGTTCTTTATAAATATCATAACAGATGATGAAAATTGGGTTATATATGACAATGCTCAGCACAAAAGGCAAGGATAAATGGTCCACACCCTACCACAGGAACTACTGGAAGTGAAAGAGAAGGAAAAAACTTTAGAAAGAACCAGAAACCCAATCCTGAACAGGAAACCTCTACTCCTTTTCAAAAGATCAGGGTGGAACATGAACCGGATTACAGACAAATCTATTTACTCCTATTGAGAAAAAAAAAAAACGTAAATAAATAGTAAATAAAAGTGCAGTGTTTTAGGTGGAGATGTTAGAAGTATAGAGTTTGGGAGAGATAGCAAAAGGACAAAATTTATTAAGAAATACAAAGACAGGAAATTATGGAGAGCCATGATTATCACTGTCCTGAAGGAACACTACACATAGAAGAAGACTTTCAAACATAGTTCACTGTGGGAACTCTGGTCATATAATGCCTTACTAACAATTAGTTTGAGTCAGAAGTAATTTCCGTTTTTTGGAGCCAATTGTAATGATATATGTATCATTGTAACTAATTGTTCCTTATAAATATCATAACATATGATGAAAATTGAGTTATATATGACACTGTCCAGAGCAAAAGGCAAGGGCAAATCTCTATACCTGACCACAAATCTGAACTCTATAGAAGAAAGGTAATATTGTGTGTGGGTTTGTTGGGGCATTATTCATTTAGAGTTCATAAAACAATGCAAAACTAAATGCACATTTATAGACCCAGCAGCTGCAATGGGTCCATAAAAGTTTGACCAAAAAGCACCCTGTGTTCAGAAAATGTTGTTTGCCTCCATGACAATTGCATACCACAACAATGATACAGGAAAAAATTTGGAACACAGTTTACACCAAGTGATTATTAACTTTTTCAATCACTGCAAAATGCTTTGATGAGGAAAAATTTTCCTACTGAAAACCAAATATGCTCAAGCCAGATCAGACCAAAAATGGTATACTGCTGCCATATCTGGGAATGGCCAAATTCTTCACTTTCCAGTTTTGATAGAGTTCAAAAGTGTCTACACAGCCTTGTGGATGATGGATTGTTTTCCACTCCTTTTCCATAAACAAAACCTTGCAAGCGTCTTGCTATTCTATTGCTATTTCCATGACAAATGTTCTCATGAGCTACATTCCTTAGTTCCACCAGTTCAGACCTTCACAGCTAATACCCTCCATGCTACATATAATTGAACAAACCCATTTCCATTCCATTATTAAGATGGAAGTTCCATTTGGACATTTTCTTTCTAAGAACTGTTACTTTGTGGAACAAACTCCTGAGTGGATGCTTCTACGATGGCTACAATCTTAATCTCTTCAAGTCTGAAGTCAACCATTATCTTTAACTGTATCATTAGCAATGAATCATATGTATGAGTTCCACTTGAAGTCAGGTATGAGTGAATGATTTATTCAGATTTAAAAGCAAAATACAGCCTCTTTTTATGAAAAAAAAAGAAAAAGTGAGGGTTATAAGGTTTGTGTGCTTTACTCAGATCAACCAATCGAATATGACCTACATTAAATTTAAACTAAGGGAAGAAGCAAAAATTAAGAAATTATTTTTCATAAATGGGTCATGATCAGTAGATTGTAAATCAATGGTAGCAACAGACGTTAAGCAGGAGTGGATGTAAATGGATACATATTGTACATTAGACAATGTCATTTTCTAAAAAAATTAAGTAGTAATCTAACAAAATGCTAGACAAGTTATATGTTTTGTGAGTTTCCTACATAAAAAAACTAAACATGTTTATAGTTGATAAATAAATAGCTTCTTTAAGAAACCAGTAAATAATTTAAAAGTATATACTTACTTGGTAAATTAATATGCAACTGTTGACTAAAGACTCTTTATATAAAGTGTTAATAATAATAACTAATCAATGCAAAATGTCAAAATACCAACCAAATACCAATACATCAATACAAGATGTTACTAACACTACCAGGAGATTAATACAAAATTATATTAAATCTAAATCAATCTTACCAGCAGAAAGATAAGCCATATATGGTGCAACACAGTTCAACTAAAATCTAAGAAAAAGCACTGTCAAATTCCAAGACTAACTGAATTGTAAGGTAAAAGGTAGACTGTGTTTAAAATTTACCATTAACTCAGATCTTTGGTTTAATAAAGCATTCTTATCAAAGAACCTGATAATTTGCAATTTTTCATGTAAACACAGAAAACAGGGTTCATATAAGGATCTACATGTCCTTGCCATTTTAAAATTTTCCATTTCACCTTCGTAGTTTTATTATTATCTTTCAAACTCCAAAACTATTTTGAAAGTGATGTATTATTTCTATAAGTATTATTAGTAAAGAACAATATATGTTGATACCACCTAGCCTTGAAAGAATTCTTAGTACTATCAATATGAAACTTTTCAACCATCAGATTTTCTAATGTAGAGATAGAAAAAAGATAAACAAGAGATTTAGTTAAACATTTGTTTGGCATTGGGCATGGCTCAGGATTCCTACAATTACATTAGCCAGTATCCTTAAGAATATTCTCCTTGGAACTTGTATTATGATTCAGATTATTAAATTGGTTTAGAGTATTATTGTTGTGTAACTTTATGATCTTCTCAAGATTATTGGTGCAGCTATAACTTAATTTTAATGTGTTACTGTTAAATATTTTACTAAGAGGGTTACTTTTAGGAAAATGTTTATCAATCAACTGGAGGAACTTATGACATAATTTAGTACTAATTGATTAAATGGGGTTGTGTACCAAATGATCTTCCTATTTCTATACCTTTTCTTTGCACCACTATCATCATATTTTCTAAACTTGATTTCAGCGCACTTATAACCACTATTCTTTAGAACTTTATTGTACACACTGCTATATTTATCAAACACATCTTTGTCTGATGAGTGGTTTCTAATCCTACATTCTACAGATGAAGGAATATGTTGAATTACAGATGGAGGGTGGTTGGAATTGGGATGAATATAAATTAGCTTGATATTATATTTCACATAAGGTTGAAATATATCATTAACGAGATCTAACATAATATCAAGAAAATCTACTTGTTTAACATTAGTGCTTATCTTAACCTTAAGATTTAAACTTTTTAGTTTTATATGAATCATTTTTCTTAATTTATCTACCTTAATTTTAGTGGAATTTTTTACTACCATCATTTCTATATAACCCTATACTATCAACATTGACATCTTCATAGTCAATAAGGTTAATACACACACACACACACACACACATACATATACATATATATATATATATATATATATATATATATATATATATATATATATATAAAAGCATGTACCTTCATCCATAGAAAAATGAATAAGTATAAATTCTGCTAATGGAAGAATATTCTATGAACACAGTAATTTTATAATAAAGCTTTAAAGAATAGTGGCTATAAATGCTCTGACATTAAATATAAAAATAATAATAAAAATAACTAGAGAAGAAAAAGAAATAAAAGAATCATTTGGTACCCACCCCCACATTCAACCAAATGGTTTGTAGTAAGTTAGTTAGCTTTAATTGAAAAACATTTTTTTAGAAATAATACACTTAGCAAAATTTTTAATAAAAATACCTTAAAGTTAGGTTATCTTTGTACTGATAACTTAGAAAAAATTATAAAAAAGCACAATAATAAAATTTTAAATAAATACTTAAACCAGAATCAAAAAATAGTGATCCAGAAATAAGAATAAATAAAAGTAAAGAAAAATTATGTAACTGTAGGAATCCTATAAATTGTCAATTGAATAATAAATGTCTCACAGAATCTATAGTTGACCAATGTACTAAAAATAAAGACAAAAAGTGTTCAACTAAATATGCATAGAAAACAAAAAAAATTGATTTGATAGGAATAAAACCCATTTATCCATTTTAATGGCTGAAAAAGTTATTCATACAATACAAAAAAGAATGCAATATCTTTATTTAATACTTTTTAGAATAAAAGTGAAAGTTTAAAATAAATATGAACAGTCTCACCAATCAGGCAAAGTCAAATAGTAACTTATAAGCATGAATCCTTCCTAGATTCTCAAAAGTTCATATATGCCCAGTTTTGTATTCAAACATAAGCAAAGCAATTTCTAAAGAAATAATGGATTTTTTATTTACTAATCCAACAGATTTTATCACTTTAAACATTAACTTTAACTTATATATATCAAAACAGAGAAGATGTGGATATTCATCAAAGTGCATCACTACAAATTTCAGATAACAGATATCTTATATACTTGTAAAATCCCCTTCAATATCTCTAGTCAAGGCAGAAAGAAAGCCTGTGATTCTTTGTATAATTTTTCATTAGATAGTAAAATTTTCTGAGTAACAATAACCTACATTTATTCCAAAAGACTTTTATTTACTCAAAGACGGAATAGAATGAAAACATGTTTAAGATGAAAAAAAAAGACAATAAAACATTTATACTGTTCTCTATCAGACATGTTTGTTTGAAGATTGAAAAATACAGTTTTAAGATTTTTTTAAAAATCTATTTTCTTCTATCCGTTTTCTTTTACTAAATGTTTAGCCAAGAAAGATAAACAATTTCATTTTGTTTGGCTTCTAGGCTGCATTGCAAAACTTGATGAATCAATCTTGATATTGTCCTTGTAAACTATAACTTGGTGGTTGGCTAAAGTAGTTGTGGATTTCTCAATGGTGCTTATGGCTTTTGTTCAATACCAGGGAGAAAGGTAAGATTTTGACTGGTAAAATACAAGTCAGGTAAACCCTACATCCAGGAAGATTGGTGTAATACAAACTTCTTAACCTATTTCCCTATCATTTTTGCCTTCAGATGAAGTAAACTAAGCTTAGTAAGTATTTATGGTTCCTGTAATATAAGTCTTAGTTTACCTTAGTTTACTACCATATATATTTCATAGAAATTACTGCGTCATTGAAATTTGTATGGTTAATCATCAACATATATAAGAGAAATAGAGAGAGAGAAAGAGATAGATAGATAGATAGATAGAGAGAGAGAGAGAGAGAGTGTGTGTGTCTATATACAGATCCTTACCATCATCAGTTCCATGACTGAGTGTGGTTGTAGGGTCTTTGTGCAGCTCCCTCCATATATATTGGTTGTATGACAATGTTGGAGTCTCTTCTAAATTCAGAACCCACCAACAATACTTCACCATATCATATGTCGTTGGTTTTCTTACAGAATGTGAGATTACCAATACACACACATTATATATATATCTATATATATATATATATATATATATATATAAACTTATAAAACAGATATTGGTCAGAGTTGAATTTTTTTCATTTTGGTAGCGCTATTGGGTGATCTCCTAATTTTAAATATATATATATATATTTTTTTCATAATAATTCATTATGTCTAGACCTAAAATCAACAACACGTACACATGCAAAAAAGCATTGGATGGCCATTTTGTCCTTTTTGGGACTCATCAGCAGTGCGTATCCTCTACTGACACTGAGAATTGAACCTGGACTGTTATAATATGACACAAGCATCATACAATTGGGCCAGTAGGCCACAGTAGTGAAGAGAAAACTAAGTTACTAGACACAATATAGTGCCACTCATTGTATTTTTGGTGGTGGTACTCATATATATATATATATATAACGTAGACTTATTCACTCACTATGAGTCGGACTCCTGCAAAATGTGTCACACGCATTGCTGCATTAACTACAATATTCACTATTATTGCATTATTAATCTGATGTAATGGAATAAGCAGTCACCCCCATAAGTGACTGCACTATAGGTAGTAACTACCTATAAGTATCTGTAAGTCAACAAACTACAGACTAGCTGGGACCTTTTCCAGCTGTGCTGGTCAAACTCTCTGCATCTGAGAAGAGAGGATCCCCAGATGAGGCTATGTCGAAGGGCAGAGTCTTGTCTCAGGAAACAGCTACCTGACCCTATTTTATACAGGGTCTATGGAGAATTTTTGGCCAAGCCTACAGGCTCGATTTACTCCACATTAAACTCGGCCTTGTGTCACATCCTACCTCGTGGGGAGGCTGGTAAATATCATAATATGCTGTCTATGCTGGCAGCATGAGCTGTCAGCATGGGAAGCTCTTGCCGTGTCGAACTCTCTGCCTTCGGGCAGAGAGGAACCCCGGATGAGGCTATGCCAAAGGCAGAGCCTTGTCTGGGGAAGTAGACAGATACCTGAACCCATTTATGTGGGGTCTATGGGGAATTTTTGTCTGAGCCTACAGGCTCGGATTGCCCCACATTAAATTCAGCCTTGTGCCACATCCTACTTCGTGGGGAGGTTGGTAAATATTACTAGCTGAGATCTATTGAGTATGACTCAGACTTATGCAAGAATTACCGCCCTTCCAAAAGTAGCACTCACTACTGGATTGACTTGTGACGACCTTGTGCATAACTGTTACCTTTATTCTTATAGTACTGGTTATTACAATAAAACTTTACTTATTTTATCCACTGTGTTTGTCAAGTATATATTCCTATTAGCATGGAATATAACATAATCCATATGATTAAACAGTTTCTTCTCTAATCTTTTCTTCCAGTGTTTACCTTAGAATATTTTTAACCAGAACTACAATGAGCGTTAAAACAATATCAGTTAAAAACAGGACTCCTGGGAGTTTTGAAATACAGCAAAGTATTTTGCTTATTGCAAATATTAAATTTAATTTATTTGCTTGAAATTGAAACTAAACTAGAAGCTTCACAAAAGATTTTTCTTTTTTAAAAATTCATTTTAAACCTTAGGTATTGCGTTTCTGTGTATACATACATACATATATATATATATATATACATATATATATATATATGTAACAGTTTGAGTAGCAACTGATTTATATTTTTATGGCTGTCAGCTGCTTGGTTGCCATTAGTATTAATAAAATTGTTAATCTCCAAGACAAATATTAGCAATATGACTCCCCAGAATCCAGCAGCTACTCATCCTGTATATATAAGTGGCAAAGGGTGACTTGGGAGTCCATTATGCAGTCTAATCCCCCAAGGCGATGAGGGTAAAGGAGAAGCTCACTCTGTGCCCCCAGAAAATTATTTGCCTCCCCCCACCAACCATCCATGAATATGATGTGAACTAATTTTAATGTGAGAAAATACACTTCTCAGTAATTTTGGTTTAATCTTGTTCACAGGTCATAAAATTAACAGTTTCTGTCTTAATGAGGCGTAGACATTTTTATTTTAATTTTTAAAACATGTTTAATAAGTTTCTTATCACTTGACAACAGGTTTTCAGAAAATGGTGTTGATTGATGACTGGAAAAGTGAAAATTCGTAATTTTGACATAAACTAAATTAATATTGTTTTAATTTAAATTCTTTTAATTAACCAAAATTTTCTTTTAAAATAAAGTTCAATTTTCTTCTTTAAAACAACATTAATACATGAAATTTTAGTTTAAATACTTTTAATTTTAAAATTAAATTTTGAAGTGAATTTTTAAAATGTCTTTAAACAAAATTTAACATGTTTAATGAAATAATATACAATTTTATCAAGAAAGTTTTTGACATAACTTTAAAAAAGTAATTTTGAATGTTTAAAATGAAATCTTAAGGTGTTGAAATGGATGAAAACTTAGCTTTCAATCACAAAAAATAGATTTTGCTGGTTGCTCATTTTTGCTCTGCATATGAACTGGTCAAAAACTTTCTGGGTAATGGTCACCTGACTGAATCCAGGTCTTAAGACAGGGTCAATACTCTCCCTGGGTTAAAACTTTTTAAAAGTCAGTAAAAAAAAGAACTTTTGATGTGACACTAAAGTCGACAGACGTTCACTATATACTCTTCAGAAGCAAATAATACAAATTTTGTCTAAATCTGTCCAACTATAAGTTCTTTGAATAGGCAAGTGTTTGACTTCAGCTGCACACAGTAAAAACATCATCACTTCAGTAGAGAGTATCTGCTGGCTTAATATGGCTGGGAAGCAAGCAAAAAAATTTCTGCTTTTCACTGGCTTTCTTCTGTGGCCCCACTGTCTGTCTTTTTCATGCACCCAGCTTGAAGGGAATAATAAAACAGGGAAGGCTAAAGCCATGGCCTTTTCTAACACAAGCAAAAGAATTTCTCCTTTTCTGTGACTGTCCCTTTTTCTCCCACTCAATATTATGTCCTGTCTTTCATTCTCCCTATTAAAAAGGCTGGTAAATTCATTGCTTTTACTTGCATCTTTTCTCAATAAAAATCAAGTATTTTCTCTACTTAAACTCTCTAAATAATATTGCTTGTAACAATTAACCTAAAAAATGGGAAATACAAAAAATACAAATACAAAGAGGATAGTAAAAATTATGAATAATTAATTTTATATTACACAAAATTATTTATCCTGGAAAAAATGTAAGGCATGCAGTGCTCCTGGTGTGTGTGTGCATGTATATATATATATGTGAGTGTGTGTGTGTGTATATATATATATATATATATATACATACACACACACATATTTTATGTGGCACCCATACATTCTTAGACTTGGATGAAAGTTGATTATAATAGCAGAAGAAATATTCTTTAGTACTGATGGTGTGATGACGAGATGTTGTCTCAGTGGTAAGTCTAATTAATTCAATAACCTCAAATTGGCAGCTGATCTAATAATGACCTCCAGCCGGTTGTTAACTGGGGCAAGGATTGGAATGTTAACTTTAACACTTCCAAAACAAAACTTGTCATTAGTAATCAACTGAGAGACCACTTTTTATCTTGCATCAGCATGGCTGATGCTAACCTCCAGGAGAGTGACTCATTGCACCTTCTCGGTCTAACATTCTCTGCTGATATGAAGTGAAAAAACTACATTGAATCCATTGCTATATATATTTTTTTATATAGACAAAAACAATTTACTCATGACAAAGATGCAACTTTGTTTCAGTGCATTTAGTTGTACCTCTACTGGTGAGAACCAAAATAGTTATGAACAAAAAATGGTTATTAACACCAGTTGAGGTACAACTAAATGCACCGAAACGAAGTTGCATCTTTGCTGTGAGTAAATTGTTTTTGTCTATATGAAAAAATTATAATAAATAACTATTGCTCTACTATTGGTACTGATTCCTCTTTTGAATTAATGTTGTGAACGTTATAATTTATATATTATTTTCATTCTCATTACATTCAGTTGGCATTTGTTTACATTCGTAAAAACAATACACTAGAATTAGTCATTTCTCTCTGCTGAATGATGATAGTTTAGTGGTAGAAACCCTAACATCAAACCAGTCGGGTCTCGGTCCTGGCTTAAAGCATTCAGATGTCTAGTCACACTGAGGAACTATGATACAGTGAAGCAGTACTGTCTGTAAATGACATAATTAAGCTCTTGAAAAATATATTTCAGTTGAGCACAGTTGTAAGATAAGCTAATTCTATAAACAACAGCCACCTGCACTAATGCAAAGCTCTTCAGTAAAATGAATTGGAGCCCTCTGACTGATTGATGTTTGTTGACATTCATAAAAACAATACGCAAGAATTAGATGTTTCTCTCTGCTGAATGATGATAGTTCAGAAGTAGAAACTCTGACTGACACCAAACCGGTCAGGTTTCAGTCCTGGTTTGAAGCATTCAAATGTCTAGTCACACTGAGGAGCTGTGATACAGCGAAACAGTACTGTCTACGAATAACATATATATATATATATATAGGAAACATGGTGTGGTGTGTACAAACATAATCAATTTCATTATTTGCTTATATTTTCTTCAATAACTTTCCTGATGTCATCAGTTCTTAACTTGATATCTATGCTAACACAACCATTCCTGCTTCCCATCAGCATGGCTGATACTAACCTTCTATGTGAGTGATTCATTCCACCTTCTTGGGCTAACATTCTTTGGCTAACATGAAGTGGAAAAACTATACAGTATCCTGCTAGGTCTGCTGCGAAGAAAGTTGTGTCATGCTAGACAATTTTTCTCTCTAGAATCTATCTTACATATTTATAAGTTTTCCATTCATGCTTTG